GCAAAAGCACTAAAAAGCTTGTGAAATTTGTTCGAATGTAAAGGAAGGCATAATAACTGAAATATAAAGCCACAAACAAGGTTCAATCTTGGCCACATGCTTTATCACGTAAAAAAATACTTGCAAGGAAGGATTCGAAATCTTTTGCTTAGTTTTAATGGCTTAAGTGAACGTACATATCAAGGGTTTCGTTATGGAAATTTCGATTAACCTAACTCTTCAAAAATTATAGATATCCCGGTATATTTCAGCATGGCTAAGGTGCTTTCCGTATGTGGTGCCAAATAAGGCGCTCCTTAGTGCTAGGTAAGACAGGAAAGTATTAACAGGGCAATTGTGGCAACTGTCTTTCAACTCACCATAGTCTTTTGAACGACACTTGTAATTTCTAGCAACTATCTTTAAAGCTCTTTACTGTCTTCTGTAAAAACACAATTTTCGGATTATGAGATACGTGAACGTACTCTTTGTCCCATTCAGCTTGTACTGCCTGACATATCACGTAATTTTCTCGTTTTCGATCCGTGAACGGATATTACGATACGAGCCCTGCTTACAACAATAAAAACTAATAAATAAAAGAAAACTAAATTAAAGAATGAAAAATTAAAACAAATGAAAATAAAATAACACAATTTTTTAAAAATTAAATGGAATAAAAAAAATTATTTTCAAAACAGTAAAATCTAAAAATTAAATTAGAAAAAGATAAACATTAAACCAAAAAAGAAGAAATAGTAGGTACTTAAAAACTAAAAAAAAAAAATGTTGAAAAAACAATTTTAATTTTTAAACAAAATCTAGAAATTTAAAGAAAATTTAATTAAAAACCCTAAAATAAGATCCTAAAAATTAAATGATATAAAAAAATTTATTTTGATTTTTAAAACAATAACATCTGCCGCTGTGGTGTAGTGGTAAGCAGTGCGCGCTTCCACTCCGCAACGCCTGGGTTCAAACCCTGGTCAAAGCAACATCGCAAAAATATAGAAAAAAGGTTTTTTCTTAACAGCGGTCGTCCCTCGGCAGGCAATGGCAAACCTCCGAGTGTATTTCTGCCATGAAAAACAGCTTCTCATAAAAATACAATCGCCGTTCGGAGTCGGCGTAAAACTGTAGGTCCCTCCGTTTTGTGTGACAACATCAAGGCGCACGCCACAAATCGGAGGAGAAGCTCGGCCAAACACTAACATATGTGTAAGCGCCAATCTAATAAATAAATAATAACATCTAAAAATAAAAGAAAATTAATATAATAAAAAAAAATTAAATAAAAAAAAAATAAATGAAAAAATATTATAAAAATTAGAAAAATTGTATGGAGTTTTTAGAAATTTCCATTAGACGTCCCAGTGATGTGATCTCGCAAAAGATAATGAATATAAAAACAATTTTTAGCGAAAAACACATCCGACTTCAATTCTCATATGAAAATTTAGGACCACCTCTGAGACAATACCTTTCCGATAAAAGATTATCGAAATCAGTTGACGTGGTCCAAAGTTATGCGGTAAAATATTGATAACCTTTTCCTTTTTTGAAGTCGGTTATAAAGAAAACTAAATTAAAGAAAAAAAAAAAATAAAATGAAAAAAAAAAAAAAAAATTATATAAAGTAATTTTTTAAAAATAAATAGAAAAAAATTATATTAAGAATAATAAAATCTAAAAATTAAGTTAGAAAAAGATAAAGACTAAATCAAAAAAGAAGAAAATAGTACTTAAAATTTAAAACAGTAACTAAAATAAGATCCTAAAAATTAAATTAAATAAAAAACATATACATATTTTCCTAATTAAATTAAAAAAGAAAAAATGTAATTTAAAAATTGAAAAATAAATTCTGCCACCCTCGGGCTCGGACTCGGATCTCTCGAATGGCTTTGCTCATTCGGCCATAGCGACTATTCGAGCGACGCGAGCTAAATTTAAAAAAATTGCTTTCTCTCAAATGAGTTTTTCACCAGTGGTGAATGAGAGTGCTTTTGTGCTACACTAACAAAAGTCTTTCGAGCTACATATCTTGCCATCTGTCTTTTCATTTGGTTTAACGAAAGAATTTACTATCTTAGTCAGAATTGCGCTGCAAGATGAACTATCTTAAGCAGCTCGAATCTCACCAAACCGTGATTTCTTTTGGGAGTAATGTTGCAGCCAGCAACAGCAGGTGGACTTACCTGCACACATGACCGCCAGTTTCGGAGCACCGCATAACGATTTCTGCGGAAGCTGCAGAGTTAAAAGGGGGAAGAGTAGGGGAAAACTCCGTATGAGGGTCTTCGTTAGGATTCGCAAGAAAACCAGGATGGTTTAAAGAAATGTGGGAGTTGGCATAGGGAAATATGAAATTACGACTATCACCCGATAAAAGTTTGCACCAAGTCATACGATATGGCCAGAATATCATACTTTGGTGTTAATGAATTGATCTTCATTAACGTGTATTTAAATCCTCCAGGTCCTGGAGTCCAGGACAACTGGGACTACACTTTTCTGATAAACTTATTTATCAATAAACATGGCAACAAGAAATATTTCGGGAATAAAACAAAATGGAAATTAGTAACTATGAATGAGTAGAAAAATATAATAATAACGGTTAAACACTGTTATTATCTTTTTAGGTCGATGCTTGCAGGGATAGCAGCCTTTGAGTGTCCTTCATGTTGATTAAGCATTTTGAGTGTCATTACCTACTGACATCTTCTTTTTATTTGGAGCTATAATCGTTTGTCGGTTAGGACCGAGACCAAAAAGCTTCTCAAATCGCCTGCCTCCTGCGCAAATTTGCGCCAGTTTTTCATCCCGAATGCAGATAGGTCCTTCTTCACTTGGCCCCTCCATTTTGTTCGTGGCCGCCCTTGCTTTCGTTGTCCACCCATGGGTGCTAAGTGAAGGTATATTTTCAAAGGAGCGTCGTCATCCATGCGTTCAAGCCAGCGCAATCGTTATATTTATATGCGCTTAACTATGTCGTTAAAAAGCTGATACAGTTCGTAATTCTATCTTCTCCGTAGATATTACGTAGAATAGGTCTCTCGAAAACACCCAAAGCCTTCTCATCTTTCTTTGACATCGTCCATGTTTCTACGCCTTAACGGGCATGACGAGAAACTTGAAGAGCGTAATTTTTGTTCGCCGAGAGAGGGCTCGCTTTTTCAATTGCCTATCGAGCCCGAAGTTGCACCTGTTGGCAAGAGTTATTCTTCGCTTGATCTGCAGGCTGAAGTTGTTGGTGGTGTTTATGCTGGATCCTAGGTAAACAAAGTCTTTCACTACTTTAAAGTTGAAGCCGCCAACAGTAAAAAGTGTGCATCGAAACGTGTGGACTCTTTATATAATGTCAGGAGGTATTTTGTCTTGTCTTCATTCACCACTAGACCAACCTCTTTAGCTTCTTTTCTAAACGGGAAAATGCTGCAGTTACGTCCCTTTGTTTCAGACCGGTGATATCGATATCATCTGCATATTCCAGCGATATCGTTCTTTTGCTATATATGGTACCGCTACGATTTAGATTGGCAGCTCTTATTACGCTTTCCAGCAGCAGACTAAAAAAATCGCACGAGAGTGAATCGCCTTGTCTAAAACCAAATACTTACATACAGTTTAAATATTCTCTTATGCGCATTAACATTTTTGTGTTCGTATGGAAAAGTAGCTTATGTCGAAAGGCTGGCTTTAGTACAAATCGGCATTCGCAGCATATGTATGATTGCGAAAGACTCACTGGCGCTGAGCTGTTGAACAGCATTTGGCAAATAAACGTGCAAGAAATAGTTCCGATACTGGAAGGGAATGCCGCATTATACTAAAGCCAGCCTGTCTACATAAGCTACTTTTGCGAACGAACACAGATTTGTTTAACGAATACAATTTTGTGTTACGGTTGTTGTAGCAGCTACTTAGCCTTGCTTAGACCGGATAGTGTTTCAATCGTTGTCGTGAAGCTGAACTAACGGTAAGAGCAGGAAACGTTCGTTCCCACGACAGTCGGGTCTACGTAACCGGAACGACCCAGATTTATATTTGGCCAAGGACTGTCACTCCAGCAACACTCCCCAAAAACTCTTTGGGGAGCTGGTATGTTGCTACAACAACAACAACAACAACAACAACAGCAGGAAACGTGATTTTTCTACAGGAAAACTGGTATTAGCCGAGTTGAGTTGTGAAGAGGTGGCTGGTGTCGTGGGGAATCTCCGCATGTTGGACATTTATTGGAGTTGTTGCTTAGGCGGCTGCAGTGTCCAGACCGTAATTGGGCCAAAGCGACGCGGGTCTGTCGCGGCAAATGAAACTCATTCTCATTAACAGTTGGTGCTTGGGTCGCTGACACCATCGACAGGACGGGAGTCTGTATACATAGTCGGTAGTAGCCTTCTTCTGAATGCCATTTGTAGCCTATCTGTACAGTCTCGGCTTCAACGTCTGTTGTACATGCTACTGGACCTCGTACTTCAGCTCACAGATATGCCTTTCGACGGGACTGAGTGAGGACTGTGCATGAAGCAAGCGTCTGTTCGGGTGCTCACGTCTATAACACCCTATTAGGAACAGCTTGCTGAGCGTAATTGTTGGGCCTCACTGTGTATGTGATGTTCAGAAGGCAATGCATGTCTGAAGCTTCGTCCACGCCTGACCTCATTCGTCCAGGTGGTAAAAATGACTGCCGAGTATTATGTAACTCATACGCCACGGTGCACAGATATCTTTCCACAGGAACCATTCTTTTATTGTTAGCTTTAGATCTCTTATTTTGCTACTAAGCAGGTTATAGTCATCAAGATCGGTTTCATGGCTAGGTTGAATGCTAGTGATTCATAGCAATTTAGGCCTAAATGTAACTGTTTGCAGATTTCTTTTCAACAAATATGTTAATATTTTCACAGTTTTTTCTCATACTATCAATTCAGTTATTGGCGAATAAAGGAAAACTGAATAATTTAGTAATTAAATTCTACTTAGCAAAAAACTTTGCGCAAAGTATGTGTATTTATTTACAATATTTGCTCTTCGTATAATTCGCTTGCATTCTTGATTATAAAATCATCAGTTTGATCATTTGCATTATTATTTAAACCGGCGAGATCATAGTCACTCATATCATCAACGGGATTTTTCTCCTCTTCTACACCCCCATTCTTCTCCTCACTTTCATCGTTCTCCTTAAATTGTTTGCTTTTGTTCAATTTAATATGTGGATGGCGGCATTCGAATATCTTTGCATAGAACACCAGTTTTCTTTGCAGTATTGAATCAATAAAGTACCTTTGAAAATCCTTAGTACGCATCTCACGTGGCCCATTTGCATGATAATGTGTGCTATAGCCTTCAAAGCGATAGATCACCTTAATTGGATAGTGTTTTGGTAAGTATTGGGGCACTATAACGGTAAAGAAGACTTTTGCAACAGCCAATGGATTAGGACAAACGGG